GGTCGGGAGGAATCCCGGCGGAGCACGGGTGGCGGACAAACCTAGAAAGAGGTGTAGCGATGGGAAGAGAAAAAAGCCGGATCGAAGTCCTTCGGGGCAGGCGGCTGCGCTGGATGCTGGGGTGGAAACGAGCAGTTTTCCGGGCGAAGAGAAGGTGGCTGGAAACGCAAAGGAAGCGACCTGTGAGAAAGAGAAGGCGTCTGGTCTTGAAAGGGAGTTTTTGCCGGAGAATCGGAGCGGTGTAACCAAAGAAGCGCTGGAAAAGTCTGAAATGCAGAGTAGCGATAGAAAAAGCTGCTCCAAGGAGCCAGTTCTTTCGGGTCATGAAATAGAGATGGCAGAGCCAGAAATAGGCAGCGCTAAAGGCTCTTGGCCTGTGAATAAAGAGAAGGAAGCAGACACGGGCGAGCCTCTCCCGGAGCCCGGGACAGAAGGGGCTGGAGTCCCGCCAGGGAGCTGGTGGTGGACAAGGCTAAGAAAAAAAGCAGGGAGGTGAAAGGCAAAAAGGCTGAAAATAATCTGGAGCCCTCTGTTGTCGCGGGTCCAGGTGACATCCCTGCGGTAGGTGAAGAGGTGGGAAGTATTAAAGAAGCTCAGTCTTTGGATGAAGGCAGAGAGATGAATTCCAGTAGCTTGGCGACTCTGCCAGAGGACCGAACTGATGCTGCTGTACCTCCGGAGCCGGAAAAATCACACGCAGGTAGCAGAGAGAAATGCAAAAAGCTGGAGGCTACCTTGCCACCACCGTGTCTTCTGGAGCATAAAGCGGGCACGGAGATGTTTCCTCCTCGTGACGTGGGGACGGCTGGCGAATCTGAAGCAGAAAGTCCTGCTGCTTGCAGCGAGGGGGTTGGGCTTCCCGTCCTAGAGCATCCGGCAGCGGCAGATCGCGCTTCGGCCACGCTTAGCGATAGATCCAAAAAGAGGAGTTACGATGGAAGCAGTAAAAAGGCTAAAAATGCCCCTGAGCAGCCGGTTTTTCCAGAGCCACAAACGAACAAGAGGGAAGTGCAGCCTCCCGCGGGATCCCAGATGGGGTATGGAATGGAAGACGTGGATTTGGTAGATGAAAATAGAAATATTAAAAATTTTCCCGTTGGCCCTCCAATGCTTTGGGGTCATAAAGGAAGTGACTTGGAACCCTTCGCTCAGACTGCAGCGACGCTCCCCGACGGCGCTGCCAGGGTTGCTTCGGGCTTCCCGGCGCGGGCAGGTGAGGGTGCAGGAGGCGAGGGGCTCCCTGCCCCCGAGGCAGGTACGAAGGGTTCGCAGGATGGCGGCGAGGCGGGTGAGCCACCATCTTTGGATCGTTCAATTAAACAGGGCAGGAAATCCGAGCGGGACGAAGTTCACCTTTCTCCCGTGGCAAAGGGAGATGATAAAGAAACGAGAACCGCTGAGCGAAAGCACGCCGCTGACAGCTCTTCTGCCGACCTTCCTCCGAAGGTGGTGGGTTCAAAAGACAGACCGGGTCCCGTCGGTGCCAAAGGGGCCGAGAAACTGGAAGCGACCGTCGCTTCTGGAGAGAAGGACACCGGGTGTGCTTCCCCC